AATGAATGGCTGGCAGGAAAGTTGACATTTTAAGCCTTAATAAAAAATCGATACAGGGCTTTAGAATATCGATACAGTATCGGGAAATGAAATATCGCGATATTTCAATGTATCGATATTTTCTTACACCCCTAGCGGCAATGGATGTAAACACATGCATATTGCTACCGCGACACTAGCGCTCATCATGAGCCATCAGCGGAGACGCCGGCGTCTTATCGAGGCTTTTGAGCGACATGCCTCTTGTACTTGGGAGCAGCTACGTAAGCAGCGTTTTTTGGAAATTGTAGTCGTGATTTTACTACTTTCTTTTACAACTTTGATTTTACTGCTACTTCTACTTCCTGMTGTCTTCATCGTTTTTTCGCCAGTAGAAACAGCTGYTTGTTGATCACGTGACTCCCATGATGCGAATAAAGTGTTTCCATTGCAGTTTTGRGAAATGCACCAATTTCGAGGAGGCCAAAATCCACCTCGTCCTAGCGCAAAACCATTTTGTTGAAAAAAGTAATTTTATTCTAAATTGATGTGTTTACATTGAGCAAATTTATTTTCAAAATTCTAATTTGCGCATTTTCATGGTCAATGGAAACGCAGCTACAGTTGTTCACAAAGTGATGAACCTCGCCCCATCCTTGCTTATGAATGACTGAGCCTTTCTGGGATGCACCCTTTATACTCAGTCATGACACTCCCCTGTTTCCAATTAACCTGTTCACCTGTAGCTTTTTAGCATTCCTCAACTTCCCCAGTCTTTTGTTGCCCCTGTCTCAGCTGTTTTGGAACATGTAAATGAGTGAATATTTTAAAACCTGTGCAATAGGTTGCCTTCAGGCTCAGGCCTCCCTTGAAAAAGAGATCTGAGATCTCAGTGGGATTTGCCTGGTTAAATAATGGTAAATAAATAAAAAGTTTGCAAAAAACAAAGTTTATCAATTTGAACATTAATATTGTGTATTTGTAGTATTTTCATTTGAAAAGGAGTTGCAATGAGGATTTGTTTAACACTTAATGCAATGTCAAATGAAACAAACAGCCAGTAGAAAAAAAGAGAAAAGTTTTGAATGTCAGAAGAACTCGTGAGAAGAGCTTTAGCTCAGTGTACCATGAAAGATGCCCCAGTTTGGACTTTATGCTTCCAGCCCTGCATAAGTAGTGCATTATTAATCCTTGATGTAAAGTGCATTTGAAAATCCAAAATGAAAGTTAGCGTTGGGTGTTTCAGCTCTGAACATGATTTTCTTCTGGAGAGGGAGGAAATGCTTGAAGCCGTATTAAACTCAGCCCACTCGGTTCCTCTTTGCTGTTTCTCTGAGAAGAACCCTCCTCTGTTTGGCTGCTACTCAAACATGAAGTTGCTGACCCCAGTGCTTCCACGCTTTATATTTATTCTAATTGTCAGGCCAGATGTTATCTGGGCCCATATTACGTCAGGCGGGGTGTTGGAGAATCGTTTGTCCAGCTGTTCTGGGGGGATATCTTTGGAGGAGGAGCTCAGCTGGCAACGTTTTGGTCTGTGTTTTTGTCTTCTGGAAKGGAATGACCGTCTGAAAAAAGAAATATCTCAGTCAGGCTTGTACCCTTTAGACTACACGCAGCAGTCTTCATGAAGACCAGTTGGATAAAATTTCTAAAAATTTGGACCGAAAATGGACAAAGTATCTTGTACTGTCTACATAAACAAATTAAAAATTTGCTCGGGGTGAGAGAGGCCGAGAGGAAAAGGGTGGATGTGAGGAAATGGGAGAGTGATGGTGTTTTGTGTGTGTGTGTGCGTTTGTGTGTGTGCCCCTCTAAAGCATGTCTTTTGTTGCCTGACATTCTCAGGTACCATAGTTACAGGTTAGCAGCCAACAGTTCTGCTTTATCTCCTTTTTAGCTCTTTCTTAGCTCGTATTGAATCAGTTGCCCAATAAAAGATCTCCCTTTGCTCCCTGGATGTGTTTTTATATTTGTCTCTGTTTCAGCAGGTAGTTAAAGTTCAGGCACTGATTTCTCGACAGCTGTTTGACTTAATTCAAACTTGGCAGGTTTATTTTTGGTTCAATGAAGTACACATTTGATATTTATTTACACAGAGAAGTGAGTAGATTCAAGGGATGTGTTTGTAAAGAGTTGCATCTTCATTCATCAAGTAAATTCTTGAACTGCTACAGTGAATTATTGGCACTGATGAAGATCATGGCTCTTGTCGTGTAAGACTCTGTTCCAGCTAATAAAGTAAAGCAGTATCTAAAAGTAGGTGAATTTTCAGCTCTGTTCTGTAARGTCAGTGGTTCTCTACGTTGGTTTGTGGTGTATTTTCAGTGTTGTATGACTATTTTCTGGATAATGAGGCTCCTAAAGAGGCCCTGAGTTATTCAGAAAGGGTTGGTGTGTGCATGAATCACAGCAGGTGGTGTGTCATCAGTAGACAACAAGGTGTATATCATTGAGGCCTCTGCCCACCCACTAATCTGCTCCCACACCCCCTCTTCTCTCGCTTCTTTCTCCCCAGCTTTAGTATAATATCTAGTTTGTCTCAGACACATTCATCTGCCCCCTGAGAGGCGTCTTACAGATTAACGGTGGATGGAGTCGGGAGGCAGCAGCCTCTCACTGATCGCTCAGCTTTTAACTCGGGCTGGATCTGCATGCTAACCCAGTAGACTTTGAGACCTAAAGAGGAACTGTGTGCAGACCTTCAGAGAACCCACGAGTCTAAAGAAGTGTTGCTGATGAGCCTGGGCTCAGGGGAGGCTGTGGTGGTCGTGGTTTGTCCAAGAGATGCATGAAGGATCCTTGGTATGTTTCTGTACAAAGCCCTTAAACACAGAGATGAAGAGGAGGACAACCAGGTACACACTCTGTGGCTCGGTGTCATTGGTCAGGCTTTGGGATTMGACCTGTTTATGCAAATGTTTCACCYCACTGCTAATTGTTTTGATTCAATTTAAGGTCTGGTAATAATAGCTGTAATGGTGGCTTTTTACACTTTCATGAGTGGGGAAGAACAGTTATTGTTCCTCTATATTAATATGTTTTGGTCTCTTTTTGTTTTTCAAACCATGTGCTGACAGTTAGAATCATGTTGCTGTAAAGGTGTTGGTAAAGTTTCATGAATTGTTGAAATGTTTCTGTGTAAAGCAGGTGATAATGTTCGRGGACTTCCCCTCTTTGTGCTGGGAAGGATTAATGGTACTTATCCCCTGGGTTTCTCTGAGCTGTGCTAGAGAAACAACAAAACAGTAGGGATTAATTAAATCTTGTAATTTAAAAACCAAACAAAAGGGCATTTTACAGGATGTGCTTTCTATTATTACAGTTAAAAACAATAAAATGTTTGATACCCGAACTCAAGCTGACTTTAATTTTTTTTCATATATAGTTCCAGGATTAAGGGGCACACAGCCTTTTTTAATTCTTTTCAGCTTTGGAGTTTATTATTTTCAGGGCACTGTTCCTGAACATGTGTTTGTGTCTTTGTTTTAACTCTTTTTGTTTGTGTGTTTTTGGTCTATTGAATAACAGGAAACAATTTAAAATCTTGTAAAATTGAAGCAATTTTTTTTAAAAACCTGCAAATCCAATCGTTTTAATACAAAACACAATAAGCCTTTAAATCCAGACAATAAGATTTTCTTCTACGCAGCTCACAAATGTGTTGTCTTTTGTCTTTCAGTCCCAGAAACCCTGGATAGAAAGCACTTTCACCAAGAGGGAATGTGTGTACATACTTCCAGCGTCAAAGGACCCCCACAGGTATGCYCTCTGACCACACTCCGGTGTGTCCTTTGTTGACAGCCATGGAAACAAAGTAATTGCAAGGTGTGTGTCGAAGTTGGCCCGAACCCTAACCACAGCTCTCCAAAGGGAGAGTGAGTCTGTTTTAATGTTTATGTCTGTCACCATAATTACATATTTTCAACAACACTGAAGTCATGAACCTGCGGATCTTGTACTTCAAATACTAAGAAATTTTTTTTAAAAGTATTTATCTATTTTAAAATTTTTCATTTGACTCATTAATCACATTTTTTATTCAGTGTTGATTTTCTGCTTTAAAAGAGTAAAATCACAAGGCTGCACATGTGTTTTTGTGAGGAATGTTACAAAGCTACGTCAGAACTMCATACAGGCTGGCTTGTGTAGACAAGTTATCCTTGTCGACTTGGTGTGCGTTAGAAGTGCTCACAAAAAAGCTAAATTAAAGGTACAGTAGCTCCAGCTAATGTTCTTTATATGCTGAAACCAGACAATGTAATCTGTAAAAATCTTTTAATCAGTAGAAGTTTTTGGCTTTACTGTTTAACAGCCTYGTTTGTCTGTGAGCTATTTCTGTTTATATTTCAACGAACCTGGATGCCTTCCTTTCCTTTTCTTCACATACAGTCATGGTGYATGACTTCTTTGTTTTTATTTGTATTAATAATTGTCCACTGGCTTTCCTCCACACACTCCTGTACCTGCCGCCACTCCTTGATGGTTTTTAGTTGTAAGTGATCGTAACCTTATTCAGCATGAGGTCGACTAGTTCTGATGGAAGAGAGTTTAAAGGCCGGTCTGTGTGCCTCTCTGGCAGATAACCGTCCTCACATAGCCTCGTTTACTGTCAGCTTCAGCTTTATGTTACCTGTAGTGTAGCACAACGCACCTTTTGTCATGTCAGTCAGTTTGGTCATCACTTTTTGATACTGTGTGCTGTTTCTGACCCTTTTTTACTGCCTGTATGATGCTGCTGGCATTTTAATTTCCCTGAAGGTATCTTGCAAGGGATCTATAAAGTTATATCTAATCTATTCTAATCTAATGTTGTGAAATTGCTTTCCAGATGCCTTCCAGGATGCCAGATATGTCAGCAGCTTGTCCGGTAAGGTTTTATTTTATTTATTTTTCCACTCAGGTTTTTTTTTTTCCCCACTTGTCAGGATGAATTTGTTTCCTTGGAAAAACATGTTTTACACCAACAAAGCTTSACAAATTATTAAAGTTTTAATTACTTTTTAAAGCAATTAAGAGAAGAAGCCTAGTGTCATTATTTTAGGATTTTACAGAATAATTGTTCTCCTTTTGTCTCTAARAAATACAAAAACAGCCATTTTACTTCAAACTGATTGTCYTTTATTTTTATTGCCTTTTATATGTTTAAATATATTTATTCTAAATGAATGATTGATTACCCAATTGTTTTATAAACTATAAAAGGTTTATCTTGACCAGGAGTAGGGGACAAATGTTTATAATTGGACAACAAATCGTAAAAACTTACTGTAAAAGAATGTTACCTCTAAGTAGTCTTTAAGGATTTTTATATTTCTGTTTTTACTAAATTTAGTATTTAGAAAACATAACTTTTGTTTGTAGTTTTTATAAACCTATATTGAACGTGTTCCTCTGGATCTCATAAAGATAATTGTTCTTCTGTTGCGTCCTGTAGGTGCTGCTGTGGCCGGCTGGTGCGGCAGCATGCCGGCTTCACAGCCAGCTTGGCCACAAAGTACTCGGATGTGAAGTTGGGTAAAAATTCCAGCCTGCCCAATCCGGAGGAGTGGTCTGTGGAAAAACACACAGAAGCSAGCCCAACTGATGCCTATGGTGTCATCAACTTCCAGGGAGGGTCTCACTCWTACAAGGCCAAGGTACAAGGGTCTGATCTTCTGTCAGATAGCATGATTGATTTCTTCCTCAAGATACTCTGTTGTTTTGTACAGTGTAAGTCTAAGTGGTAATAAGTTTGAGAAGCGAAACTCATTATCACTTGAAAGACCACGTTTTATACTAATTGTTTTGCAACACTAAACAGGTTTTGGTTTCACATTCAGAATGAATGTGTTCATGTGAGTTTTTTTTTTTCTTGGGACAGTATGTGCGTTTGTCCTACGACACTCGGCCCGAGAGCATCCTGCGGCTGATGCTYAAGGAGTGGCACATGGAGCTTCCCAAGATCCTCATCTCTGTCCATGGAGGAGTTCAAAACTTTGAGCTGCACCCACGCATCAAGCAGGTGGTGGGCAAGGGCCTCATAAAAGCTGCAGTCACCACGGGGGCCTGGATTCTCACCGGAGGGGTCAATACAGGCACGTAGTTTGGATAGAAGGTTACGACTGACATCTTGAGTAAAGTGCAGAGTTTTCTGCTGTTTCACTGGTTTTGCAGAGCTTTGAAAAGATCTCCTGCAGAAATCCTGAAGTGCCATTTCTTCACCTAAACTAATTCAATTTTAAAAATCAAAGTTAAGCWAACAAATGGATTCATACTCAAAATCTAATTAACTCTAAGTTTTATAATTTATAATTGAAAATAGTAAAAAAAATCAGTTTTTACATGAATACTTACTCAGTGTTGACATAAAGTAGAGGTAATGAGAGCTGTAAACCCATGCCCTGGCATAAATACCAATGGATGTTGACTGTAAACAAACACCGACACTGTATACCAACGTTCAGAGCCGTGAGGGTGATGTGCTGATGCAGCAGAACGTGTGAGACTGGCCTATAAGCATGTCATTTGGCTGCGAACAGCAACTGAGCTGTGTCTGCAGCCACAGCACGGCGTTAAGATGCTGCGATTTGATCATAGTGTTTAAGTTATTACTCACAAGGTCAATTACCTAGACCAGTGATTACTTTTAATGCCTCATTGGCACCATGGCCAGCTGMGATGGTCTCCTGCCTCACAAATTACTGCTGAATCCATGAGATCCATTAGCTGAGGACTGTGGCTCATAAACAGCTTCAGGACTAATGCACTTGTTGTGGACTGGCTCACTGGTGGCACTTTGGTCAAACGCTCTAGTGATGTGGTCTTTGCATGTCGCCACACTCTGCAGGTCAGGTTTTTTTTAATTGGTTTTGGGTGAAGAACCATTGTTAAAAAGTTAAGATAATAATTTAGACTGAATCAATAGTTCATTAAGGTTTTATTTATTTAATTGTTTATGTCCCAAAGGTGTGGCGAAGCACGTAGGAGACGCACTCAAGGAACACTGTTCAAGGTCATCAAAGAAAATATACACTATTGGCATCGCTCCGTGGGGAGTCATCGAAAACAGGAACGATCTCATCGGCAGAGACGTAAGGCGATTTTATTCCTGAAATCCTGTTTAATTTGTCCCTAATTTAAAGCTCATCTCTTCCCATTTCCCAAATGCAGATCACCGCCCCCTACCAGACTCTGCTGAATCCCCTCAGCAAACTAAACGTCCTCAACAACCTGCACTCTCACTTCCTCCTGGTGGACGACGGGACGGTGGGCAAGTATGGAGCCGAGGTGAAACTGCGGCGAGACCTGGAAAAACACATCAACCTGCAGAGAATACACGCACGTAAGAAAAACACCATTAAGCCCTAAAAGTGTGGCCCAACTTCGCCGAGATATTAAAAATTCACCAGCACCCGTGAGCCTGAAGGTTGAAATGAGCGCAAGGACAATTAATTATCGTTCGTTTTCCTGGCAGCTCGTCTCTGCTCGGTGGAACGTGTGTGATAGCAGTGAGATTTGTATTATCAGCTCAGCCTCTCTCACACTTTCAACAATGTGCAGCTGCTTTAAGAAGATAGTAGCTGAAGAGAAACGGCCGGCGTGAACTTAAAATTGAAGCAGCCTCAGTGTGCGACTGGCTTAAAGTTGTCAGAGTGATTGTTGGGACTCGATAAGCTCCGTATGAATGCAGACTTTTTGCTGTCGTTCTTCTAGGAATTGGTCAGGGTGTTCCTGTTGTGGCGCTGATCTTTGAGGGCGGTCCCAACGTGATCCTGACTGTCCTGGAGTACCTTCAGGAGAGCCCTCCTGTCCCGGTGGTGGTGTGCGAGGGGACCGGCCGTGCTGCTGACATACTGGCCTACGTCCACAAGCAGACAGAGGAAGGGGGGTAGGTTAAACACACGCAGGAAGAAAATGAAGCCTTGGCCTGCTAAAGACAGATTATTTTAAATTACTGTTTTAGCGATGGCTTCCTTAGTGAAACCTTGACGGGAATAATGAATAGAGGATAGAGCAGTAAAACTAGAATGAAAAGGAAATAACCATAATTAGACCACACACAGCTGTCAAGATGAGATTCAAAATAAAAATCAGTCTTAATTATTCACTGAATTATTGCAGAAAGTGTMTTTTTTTCCTCCTTTCTTTTAATTTTCTTTGATGGCTGCTGTGTTCAGTGTTTGGCCCTCATCTATTTTGGTTCCAGTGCAATATTTAGAAGCACAGTTTGCTACAGAGAGTAGTTGAGGATGTACTTTCAGAAATAAAAAATTCTAGGATCACAATATGAACAAGTTTGTCTTTTACATAGTATAATACAACAGTTTTTTGTGTTTTAACCCAAAATATATTTAAATTAAAGGTCACTATCTTTCTAAAATTATCAAAAAGTATATTTAGTTCTGTTGGACTTTGTGTAATAGAGTCAGATGGCTAAAGTTGGGTTCATTGTGAGAAATAAGAGAGTTGCTCTTGAGAAATCACAAATGTGGTCAAAAAGGCTTTTATCAAGTGAAACAAAAAATGTGTTGGAGAAAAGACAGGAATGTTAGGTGTGGCAACATCAGCCTGGAAATAAAAAKAAATACTCCAGCCAGTTTTCACTCTGACTGGGTCAGTACTGATTCTGAAATAAGTTCTGACATCTGAATACAGAAAAGCTGAAGCTGCTTTCAAGGTCCTACTGTCTAAAATAGGGAAATGTACTCTTTGTTTATGTCTGTTGGTTCCAAACTTTATAAAAAAGAATACTTTGCATGAAAGAACAGCCTGAGGTATGAAAATSTTTAAAATTTTTCTGAACCGGTTTCTGATCCTGGTCTAATAGTGTTGGAATGTTGACATGGTTGGATTCTCCGTGTTTACTTAAAAACGTTTGTATTTGTTAAGGACACACCTTTTTGTTTTAATTCATGCATTGGCTTTTCATTTTCCATTCTGCTATTTCTGCTTTTGTCCTCCACTTGTCCAGTTTTCCAAACCTTTAAGGACAACACTGCTCTCCAGGAAAGAACAGTCAAGGTTTTAGGTAATAGATGAGTGAAAAAGCAGCTAATGTTCAAAGACCTCCATCAAGCCCATAACAATACTGTTCTGGATCCCTTTAAGAAAATAAAACAAAGTCTGGCTTCTTGGAACAAAATTTCCAGAAATAAGGTGTGGCTCTATACTTTTCCACTGCTCTGAACCTCACATGCATTCAGCTGAGGCCTGAGTGGAAACTGTGGTCATAGATCTGTTAACAAAACAACATAAACCCACTCTGGCAGGGAAGTAGTCAACTATGATGCAGTTTTATACAAAGTACATGTCCTTTGAATTTAAAACTATTTTTTGGGGCCTTTACAAAGTTTTCCTCGAAAGTAAAGCTGTAGTTCTCAYAACTCATTCCTGAGCAGCATCACACCTGTGTTCAACATTTTCAGGACTTGCGGCAACAAGTTTGCTGCTGCTCTTTGATAGTCATCAACAATAGGGGAGAGCGTTGAAAGGGTTCATTTCCTCTGTGTGTACTTTTACTAAAAACTAAACTTTGTGTAAACTGATACTGTAAATCAGCAACACAATGTAGCATCTAATGATGAGTCAGATGTCTGACTCAGAAGAAAAGTTAGTAATCAAGAGTTCTTTGAGCTGCTGGAGGATTCAAAATCCAGCCTTTAAAACATTTTACAGCAGCGTGTTTGAACAGTTTGATTATTCCACAGAGGTCTTCCTGATGGAGTGGAGACGGARATCATTGCAACCATCAAGAAAACGTTCAACTTCAGTCAGAGCGATGCCATCCATCTCTTTCAGACTCTGATGGAGTGCATGAAGAGCAAAGAACTGGTAATCATCTGCAGATTTTATTTAACATGTTCACATTGTTTCACAATTATTTTCATTAGTATTTTGGTAACAGTTCTGCAGTAAATCAGTTGTGAGGTTTTAAAAAAAAGCAACTTTTTTCACATTAACTGAATATCAAAAATGAACATCTTTCACAAGACGGGTCAGTCCAGTACTGACATGTTCTGTCCCAGTTTCATGGAACTGTCTTGTGAATGAGGCTGTAGTGTGCACTAATTTAAACTACCATAGTTGGTAACTTTCAAAAATTTAAAAAAGGAAACTCAAGTAATTATTTCTTGTGGGATCATTTTTCCATGTGATTTATAACCTCATCAATGAAACTACAATGACTTTAATCATTAACATAATATATAATATAATATAATATAATATAATATAATATAATATAATATAATATAATATAATATAATATAATATAATATAATATAATATAATATAATATAATATAATATAATATAATATAATATAATAGTTTGCATGCTGGGGTAAGAGGAAATTTATAATAAAAATTAATAAACATTTATTTAAACTACTAAACTAAACGTCATCATTCATCAAAACTTTATATTGCCTACATCCATAATTTAAAAAGAAAACAAATTCAGGTACAAACTGCAGTTTGTGTTTCACATCTTTTCCTAGTCTCTACACGTGATCTCAGTCTGTAAACCTTTAAATAACAACTTAATAAGACCACAGTCTAAAAACCAGATGATGGTAAAACACTCAGAGCGGCTGATGAATCCACTGTTAAAAATCTAAACTGGTTTCCGTTGTCAAACAATCTGGATGGTGTCTGTGGGAACCTAATTTAAAAAGTGTTATCTTTTTTCTCTGTAAACAGATCACCGTGTTTCACATCAGCTCAGAGGAGCACCAGGACATCGACGTAGCCATTCTGCGAGCCTTACTTCAAGGTTTGTAATAAACTGTTTTTTTAATTGTCCTCCCAAACTTTTTAAAGAAAACAAGACAAAATAGCATAAATTAGATTGAGTCTAATCTTTAGCTACAGTTGCTGGTATTTAGTGGTAAGGATATCCAGTTTTTTCATGTTTTCTTTGGGATATAGATATGCTTTGAGAACACAGCTCCCCTTGTGTGCCCTTTTCTTTCTGCTCTTGAGGTCATGTTGCTCACATTCACATGAACTCTATTTCAACAGTCACTGAGTCTCAGACTTACCCTCCTTGCCTCATCGTTTTAAGCAAAAAAGGATTTTTTCCTCCTGCAAACTGTTCCATTGAGTTGTATAATCTCATTGTATTTCATACTTTATTTGTAATTTTACATTTAAAATGAAGGAAAATCACACATTTACTCTCCTTTGCTTTATTCCAACACCTGCTTTAAAGAGGGAAAAGCAGCTTCACATTTCTACAGCTTATTCACACTCATTCCACTTCTTCCAGAAAAGATGAGAATTTCAAATGATCAATGGTTTGAAGAAACTGCTTCAAGCATTAAAAAGAAAAAAAGGCCCCGCCTGTTCCCGAGACGTCCACTCAAGCACATTTTTAGACTCAGTGCTGTCATCTCGGTGCAAAATCAGCCTGTTCTTAAATACATCAAAGATTTTCCCACTGAAATACAGTTTAGTTACCAGAACTGTAATGTAAAGTGAGATTAGAGGGTTGGTGTCGGGTGGCTCTCAGGATGATCTGACTGATTATGTTGAAGAGACTTAATCCATGATTCAGATTTACTCTGAAGTCTCATCTGTTTCAGTAGTGATTAACTGCTATCTTTATTAAACCTCTTTAATCCTGCTAACAGGAAAATTTAGTTCTTGTCATTCATGGCTGTACTTTTGTATCTCAGGAACAAATGCATCTGCCTTCGATCAGCTGGTCCTGACTTTGGCCTGGGACCGTGTAGACATAGCCAAGAACCACGTGTTTGTGTATGGGCAGCAGCTTCTGGTACGTACACCTGTATTCGTGAGTGTGTGTGTTTCTAGTACATACACCTGTATTCGTGAGTGTGTGTGTGTTTCTGGTACATACACCTGTATTTGTGTGTGTGTGTTTCTAGTACATACACCTGTATTCGTGTGTGTGTGTGTTTCTAGTACATACACCTGTATTCGTGTGTGTGTGTGTTTCTGGTACATACACCTGTATTCGTGTGTGTGTGTGTTTCTGGTACATACACCTGTATTCGTGTGTGTGTGTGTT